TTTTTTTCCTTAACAAAAATATGGACATATTTTAGCAATTATGATCTCATTTTCGATAACTCTTGAATCAAAGCTATCGATAGTGTCGATATTTTCGATAGTATCGATACTATCCATAGTTGTGACTATCGAAACTATCCTATGGCCACGACCATCGATAGTTCTCCAGCTCTAGCTTCAAGCGCCAAACAACTGTCAAAACTCCTCATGCCCGTACAATTTCTATGGAGCATCCCACGGTGCAGCGAACAAAGGTGGCGCCGTCAGTGGTACCGCTTCTTTGGTTTTGCCGATTTTGACAGTTGTGGTAACTTGTAAATAAACCTTTGTTTACAAATCAGCGAAAGAGAAATATGAATTATAAGTGAAAAATCAGTTTAAATTGTGTTAATTTGCAATTTGTGAGTGATTTTTGAGTTGAAGACTGCGTAAAAACTAATACAATGAAGTGATGTGTGTTAAATTGCGACAGCCGTCAAGATGCAAGAAGCGTAGATGCAAGTGTAGCGCTGGGACGAATCGCTGCATTTTGTGTACATAGGGCACGGCAAAGCCGTTCCCGAAATATTTCTCTGTTATTTTATTAACAGCAATTCCTCACAATGATTTTGTTTCTGCTCCACGCAACCTCCATTAGCAAGTTAACTAATCAATCCCGCAGAGATGCTGCTGCAGCTTTCTGCAGCAGCCTTAATTGCAAAGCAATGGAGTGTACTAAAACGTTTGCTGAAGCAGCCTCAATTGCAAAGCAATGGAGTGCACTAAAATGTTCACTGTTCTCTAATAGATTAGGTGAAAAATGCAATATTTTCGCATTTAGCAAAATTAAAACACGTTTTTCGCTGTAAAGTGAACTGCTTTGGCAGTTTCAACTCGTTCTTCTTTTCGCTCTATTCGTTGTTTACTTGTGGTACACAAATGTCAACGCCCAGGACGGCGCAATCTTGTATTCTATCATTCTTAGGAGCATCCCACAATAACGCGGCGCTAGCGGCGGGCAAACGGAATTTTCCTTTTTGACAGGGCGTTACGTGTTGAAGTTGGATGCAGAAGATGGAAAGAAAGAGAAAGGACAAAAAAGTGAAGGGGAAACGAGAATAAAAATGAGAGGAAATGAGAAAACGGCAAAAATTACGCAGCGTTGATTTGGGGATAACGCGCTGACATTCGTTGGCAATGGAAAACGTAACGCTTTGCGCTCCAATTTAGGGACGCCAGTTAAGAGCTGGTTATAATAGGCCTAACGGCACGGAATCGTGGCGCAACGAAACAGGAAAAATTGTAAGCCAATTATTATGGTACGTGTCGTTACGACAATGACATTTTCCGCAGATGTTAATCTTGGAGTTTGTTTACGAAAACTTATTCGCATAATACTAAGTTTATATTTATAAAAATGTGTGTTGAAGAATATCGTCACCTGAAATGCTAAATGACATAACAACGTCGTCACTGAAATGCAAAAAGTCGTAACTTATAAAAAATTCAAAAATTACTTTTTCGCTCGAATTAAAACTGCCCAACATCGTTTTATGAAAGAAAAGTCACGACTTTTTCCAGGTGACGATATGTTTCAATGTCTTCCATGTTTGTATATATTTGCGCTTACCGTAAGAAGTCGGAAATATCTGAAATCAACAGATGCCTACGATTCGCGACGCTTTGTTACGATTCGCTCCATGGTGTAATGAACTGTATTCTATCGTTCTTGAATTGCATACACACAAATCGCGGTGTGTAATTGAAACGAGCAACACCTAAAGGGAATGTGAAAAATCTCGTCGACAAAACTCCGTGTATAAACACAGTCTAAAGGAATTTGACGATTCAGACTGGATGGCTTATCTATAAACGTTCATCACTAATTTAAATAAAACGATTCGGAGTGGATGCGTTGATTCGGCTGTGGCATTTTATTATAAAATTAAAGGAAGTTTGGTGAGTTTTTAACCCTCTAACTTATTTTTATTTAACGCTATTATATTTAAAATATTGTGTTTGGGTAAAAGATCTGTATCGAGTGAATGTGCAGAACATAAGTTGTAGGATATAAAAATGACTTGTGTTCAGAACTCTTGTCTAAAACACTTCACAAACCCGTTTAGAAAAAGAAATCTGCAGTAAGAATTTTTCTTTTTCGTTTAATATACCATTCGTTATTCATGATTTTATTATTGGATCATGATTTTATTATTGGATCATGATTT